CAATGGAAGGATTAAAGATAGGAAAGAATAGAAAAGAAAGGAAATATTCAAAATCATACATACATAAAATATCTAATTTATATATCATATATATATATATATAGTTTTATAATTTTATCAAAATGATGCTGCTTTTCACAATTTTAAGGAATGTTGCTTTTTTATAATGTGGTAAATGATATGGTTACAGGGCACAGATAAATTAGATTTTTAAAATTAATTAATTATTTTTTGTTAATAAACTAATTTACATATTACAGTTTATTAACTATCAACTAAACATTGTTATAATAATTGAACTGTGGAATTAGATGTTGAGACATGTGAGACATTTGATGTTGTTTTTTAAACCAGCTGCCTTTCATGTTAGGCTAATTTTAAGCTAGAAAATGGTTTACCTAAGTTGTCTAATAATTCTAATAATACCTAAAAAAAAAAGGTATTTGAGTCAAAGTATAGTGCAAGATAAGCGAGTCTCATGTGAGTTGGAATACTAAGAACCACTAGATGGTGCTATAAGCTTCTGATCTGAAATAAACACAACAGCAACAACACTACACATCTGACGAGCCCTGCTTGTCTGCTTATATGAACAATATGAAAAATATGAACAATAAGTGCAGTAAAGTCATTTGGAATGTCATAGTTTATTATTATTGTTTTGTTTTTAAATAAGTCACATCTCTAAGGTTCTATAATGTTATAGATTATTTCCTATCATTTAGGTAAATATTGATTCATTTAAATATAATTCATATTTTATACAGAAACAAATTATAAAGATGTGCATGTCTTTAGATGTGATTATAAGCCATGCATTGTAATATGTGGAGATTGAAGGGTCATATGTGGGTTAGTCAGTCTCTCTGCAGCTGATGTGGTTCCCACTATCTCTCACCCACCTGGCTCTTATCCTGTGCTGTTCGCCACAGATCAAAAATGGTCTTAACATTTCTAAATGACAGTGAGAGAAAAATAAACCTCTGAGAGACAGCTGTTTAATGAGAGTATACAGAGAGTGACAGTGTGGCATGTTTTGCATTTGCATATGGGTTAACAGAGAAAAATATGTTCCTTATTTGGTTTTGTGGTCTGTAAATGTTATAGAAATGGATGTCCATGCAGACATGGCCTAATTCCTTTAGGATACGGAAAAAGCAAGGAGGATGTGTTGACCTGAGGCACTGAGGGATGGCATAATTTCTGAACATTATTTCATAATAACATTTTTTATTTACTTTCCCCCCCACACATATACAGTACAACTAACCCTGTTGCAGATGTCAAGACTTGTAACAAAAAAACAAACAAAAAAAAACTTTGCAGTTGTGTACATCTGGAGAGGTTGTGAGTGTGTTAAACACTTTTTGTGACAAACAGTCAGTTTGTCACACTTCATTATTTTGTGTTTATTGCAGTCAGAAAGCCTACCATATATAACCACTTAAGGCGTTTTCAATCTTTTCCAGCACTGAGTCCACCTATCTAGACTCTCAGCCACAACCCACCACCTATTATAAAATGCTTAATTTCATAATAACTTACATTAACAACATTAAAGGAATAGTTCAAGGCAAGGCAAGGCAAGTTTATTTATATGGCACATTTCATACACAATGGAAATTCAAAGTGCTTTACATAAAAGGAATTAAAATAAATTAAAAATAAATACAAAATATAAAGTAAAAATCATAAAAAATTATCACAACAATAAAAGCAAGGAATTAAATTTTTTTAAAGATTTAAAAATTGATTTAAAATTAATTAAAACCGTTAATAATACATAAAATACAATGCAAACAGTTTAGACGTAGCACAGTGCTCATTCAGTAAATGAGTAAATGACTAAACCGATGTGTTTTATAGGATTTAAATACTACTAGGATCCTATCTCTTCTGGAAGCTGGTTCCAACTGCGAGTGGCATAATAGCTAAAAGCAGAGCCCCCTTGTTTTAAATGAACTCTTGGTATTTCTAACTGACTTGATCCTAATGACCCGAGTGGTCTGTTAGGCTTATATTCAGTGAGCATATGTATTGTGGTCACCCAATAATTAATTTACTGAAATATTCACTTCTATGAGTTTGTTTCATCATCAGAACAGATTTGGAGAAATGTAGCATTATATCACTTGCTCACCAACGGATCCTCTGCAGTTGAATGGGTGCTGTCAGAATGAGAGCCCAAACAGATGATAAAAACATCACAATAATCCACAAGTAGGCTAATCCACACGACTCCATCAATTAACATCTTGTGAAGCAAAAATATGCGTGTTTGTAACAAACAAATCCATCCTTTAGGAGTTTAAAAAATACAAAAGTCTATAATCCATAATACTTCCTCCAGTGAAAAACCAAACCCCTGTTGTTCTCTCACATCAACATCCACTAAATCCACCATTCTCATGGTAGGGTTTTGGATTATTTTTGCTTGTAAATAGTGCTTGATCTGTGCATATTTCTCTCCTGTTTAATAATAATATGCTCATACAAAAATTCTGTAAATATAAATAATACATTTTATGTTTTATGTTTTTTTTCCTCTGGTTTTTTTCCCCAATAGTTTTTATTTGTGTTTTGTCACCCTGCTGGACAATTACCTCTGTCATTTTGTGCTGTCTTAAGTGGGACATAATTAAGCTTGTAGTCAGAGGTTAAACTGCACATACATTTTAGTATTTACCATATATATCCAAGTTATATACAATAATTGTCAGAAAGAGCACTTATCTCTGACATAATTTGTATAGGTGCTCAAGTCACTTGCCACTTTTGCTTCTTGACCTTTTACTGGTACTCCGTGATAATTTCCTACAATCTACCCCTCTTGATCTTCAGGTCATGACATTTAAATGCGTTTTTTCTTTTTTTTCCAGAGAAATCTTAAATAGCTTCGCAACGATTCTTTAGAAGATGAATCAAATGTGACAATCATATCCTAAAAACCGGTTGATTCCTTTAGCATCATTCATCAGAATCATTCTTTATTTGTGCGTGAGTGCTCAGATTCTTTTCAAAATAATTAAGGTAATGTCTTGAGGTGTTAACAGAATGTGGCATAAACAAAATGCAAATATTCTTATAAGCAAAAGTTATAAAATGATAGTTGAATAAATGCTAAATTTGTTTTTACTGCACATAATTTTACAAATGTAAGCATTTTTCTTCATATTTTAATTTATAATAATTTACTCACCATTGTGTTTTCTTTCTTCCATGAAATACTAGAATTATAATCTTTTGCACTATTCCTTTAAGTTAATAAGCTAATACAGTAACAGTAACTTAGTAAAAGGCATATCTGCAGTCGGGCATCTAGGATGGTGTACTTGGTCACAAATAAAGACTAAACCAGTAACTTTAGTGGTGGTGGTTTTCCTCAATAGCCACTAGGCTACAGCTACCATTTATCCTATTTCTGAATAACAAGATTGCAATGTTCAGACAATCCTAGTCTCCATGGTGATAAAAACCACTCTGCAGTCTCCATAGTGATGCTTCATCAGCACTTACTAGGTGCAGGTTTGGTACTTGGCCTACTGTTTACTGTAGTTAAGTTGATGGGTTAGGCCCATCTGACAACAGTGCCTATCTTTATCCTGCACACAACACATCTTTATAATGACATAACAAAGTCACTTAACTTCAAGCCAACAGAAAGTGTAACAAAAACAGGTTTAGCTACTGTAGCAAAAATCCACAAACTGTTTTTCAAATGTAAAGCTTGAGTTGTGAAGAACTGATCTGACTATGTTTATGAGACAAGATGTTTGTCAAATCTTCGTTTTTACAATCTTTACAGGATATTGCATTTCTCAAAATATTAAAGATAAAAAAATTTTTTTTAAACTTATTAAACCAAGTTTGTTGATTGTTGAAATATCTTCAGATTTGCTCTCAAGATATATATACATATGGGTTGACAGAAGTAGAATTTTGATTAAGACATCTTCGATGTATTTTATTACAATATCTGTTATGCCACTATCTGTGTATGTAACACAGTTTTATTATTTTAGCATTTTCATGCACTTCACAAATGGTATTTATAACACATTGTACATAAGTCATCAGTTCACAATATGACAGAAAAATAAATGTGTGAAAGATAATCTTGATATCTCAGATCTCCAGGTTGGTGAATTTGTTAAGTTCAGAAACTTAAGAGCTAAGAAACTTTAAAAAGCTCATTGTGGTCTGCAGCCTCATCTGGGCGAAATGCAAGGAGGGAGCAATATTTTCGATTTCCCAGCAACCTTGAAAGTTGGATTGTTGTGTCAACTACCGTTGCATAGTCTGATTCTTTAGTCTGCTCCAAATGGTTTGTGTCTAATTAGGAGACTTCTTGAAATCTCCATTCTCATTGCAACAACTTTAAGAACTTGAGTTGAAATTTGCTTATATTTTCTGACTATTTCCAGCTATGGGCTATTTATTAATTAAATTTGAACCAGAAAAGTTTTAGTGTGATCCTGTATCTGATTAAATGTATCTGAAATTCATATAATGCTATTTAACCATTTATGTAAATGCTAATTAACCCATTCTAAAGTTGTCACAGAGGTATCCAGCTATCTGCCGGGTAAGATTACCCGTGGGAACCAGATTCTATTACCAATACTAATCAATAATTGATGAAGATACCTGTGAGGTAATTGACAAGCTCACAGAAGAGGTGCAAAGATTATCTGCAGGAGGGGCCAGAGGAGAGCTGCATTTAATATAAATCCTATATCTCTATATAAATCTATATTAGACCTACATTTTCATTTAACTGCAATAACATGCGATTGTCGGAAAACCTCACATCTGTTGACACTTTTCGTAATAAATACTCTTTTTAAGAGTATGCTATTGTAGGCATACTTCTTTTTCACAAGGGTAAGGGGACTTTATTTTGAGACTTTACTTTGAGACTTAATTTAAGTATTATTAACCAATATTAGATGGGTGGATAGATAGATAGATATCTCGGCCAAAGATGTCAATCATAGAGGCGAGGCCCCTCCCATCACACAGAACCCCAGCGCGCGGCCGTCAATGGCACGTCACCTGTCTCTAACATGTAGCTAGAAACTCTAACACTGCTCGAAATTCAACTCAGATGACCACCAGTCAGGTCGCACTTATTTTTTGGTTGAGCCGAAGTGAAACAGCATGTCAAAGATGTTCGTTACAGCTCGTAATCCCAGACGAGAGCCGTTGAGGGCAGACCTGACCGTGTGAATTTAACCGCATTAGCTAGCCAGCTAGCTGGGTTTACCTTTAGCTGCGCTAGTCGAAACGCGCTAATATCAATAACGGTCCAAATATTTAGATGTTTAGCGCGTGTGTTCTCGTCAGAAAGGCACATTTGACGGCCGCCTGGAACGTGGCGTCTACTGGAAGGGTGATTTGGACATAATTAAAGTAAGTTACACCACATTTGTCAGACTAACTAGTAGGCTAGCGTTATCTACCGGGCTGGACGTGTTTTGTAACTGCTGAGCTGAGGGCAGTACTGCTGCCTGCTCTTGGAAACCGATCTGTTAATGGATGTGTCCCCAAACGTAACGAGTTGCCAGTTTATTTAGCATTTTGAGTATCATAGGTGTTGAAATTGAACGTTATAATTTGCCTGCAATGTCCCAGATGCTGCCTAAGTTGGTAGCTAAATTGGTTTGGACACCAACCATTTTAATTCCTGCAGTAAACACTCTCTAAAGACAACACCAGAACTGGCATTTAATTATTTAGGAGTTGTTATTGTTTTTATGGAGTGGTTGTTTTCATTTTTATAAAATGTAAATACAGGCCTATATAATATATAAATTCACTCCAATCAGTGCAAAAACGAGCCCATGTTAGCTGGTTATCAGTGTCAGAAATTCACTTTTTACTTTGATGAAGGCCTTATTCTAAACATATACATCATTTGTGTCAAATATTTTGTTATTATAAATTGAATGAACATCCACTCATAATATATGTGATATAATATATTATCAGATATTACATGCAAAACATGCACATTTCATTCTTATTATTATGATTAGCCGCTGAACGCTGAAGCTTTGGATTTTGATGGCTTTTTTGTCCGTTAGGCTTTTTGCTACAAACCCTGGTTCATTTCTGACCCTGTTGGTTATAAGTGTGATTGAAATTAGCTGATGGAAACTACATGGCACAAATAATTAAAAAAAAATGTAAACCCTTCTGTTACTATGATGACTAAGTCAGCTTCTAGAAGTGATTGTTATATTAAATGTAGATCAACAACATTTGCCAGGTCAGCCTTTTTAGTTGAAGCAGTAGAACACTGGAATTCTCTGCTGACAGCTATTAGAGATTGTGGTACTTTAAAATGTAAAAAAAATTGTGTGCTTTGTGAGCATTAGGTAGTTGTAATTTACTGTAGAAATAAATAAAAATGAATAAGACTGTGCCGTGTGCTTGTAGCAAACTTCACCCGAGTCCGCTGCTTCAAATGATCCGCCCGCCACCCACCCGCACCTATATTTGATCGTCACATTACAATGATTCTAATTCTTAGTTTTCCATGATGATATGATGAATGGATGGTTCATTTTTAACAGCAGATTCAGTGACATTAGAGACTAGAGTTGATCTGCGCATCACAGCACGCGTCTGCGGCGCATTAAAACCTGTGTTACGGCCACTCAGTCAATGCTGGTGTTTATACCGGCTGCGCCGCGGCCCAGAACTCATGCTTATCACATCACGAGGCGCGACAAAATACAATAGCTCATTTGAATAAGGCTGCGGTTCTCTCGGTTGGTTGTGCATCTTTTTCTTCCACACTTTTTCCTTCCACTCAACTTTCTGTTAACATGCTTGGATACAGCACTCTGTGAACAGCCAGCTTCTTTGGCAATGAATGTTTGTGGCTTACCCTCCTTGTGAAGGGTGTCAATGATTGTCTTCTGGACAACTGTCAGACCAGCAGTCTTCCCCATGATTGTGTAACCTAGTGAACCAAACTGAGAGACCATCTTGAAGGCTCAGGAAACCTTTGCAGGTGTTTTGAGATGATTAGCTGATTGGCATGTCACCATATTCTAATTAGTTGAGATAGTGAATTGGTGGGTTATTGTTAAATGTGAGCCAAAATCATCACAATTAAAAGAACCAAAGACTTAAACTACTTCAGTCTGTGTGCATTGAATTGATTTAATACACGAGTTTCACAATTTGAATTGAATTACTGAAATAAATGAACTTTTCAAATTTATTGAGATGCACCTGTATACACCTGTATAATGGATAATAATGGATAATGGAATGCGATAATACTAAAGAAAGTAAAAGAAAAATGGGAAATTCGAGAATGCTGCTTTTTTCTTGTGCCTTAGAGGTGAGGATGAGTAAGACGAGGAAGCTCTCTAGTTCATTGTGCAGTATAGATAACTGATTTCCCATAATATCATGCTGATACAAAATTAGACTAAAAAAAGGGTAGAAAGTTTGTTTAATGTTCCTTTAATTGTCCTGGGCTTGCAGTCTACCTGACACCTAGTGTTGTGGATGAATTATTTAGCAAAATTAGTAATTTTCAGTTACTGATGCCATTGGCCAGCCACAATTAATTTAATCCACAAGTCAAAGTATTCTATAACAAAGTAGTTATCAATATAAAATAAGTAATATTCATCTGGTCATGTGATTGCAACATGGCCTCCCCATGATTTGACCAGTTCCATGTAAAATAAAGCTTTTGTTAGGCTCCTGATTTGACGCGTCACGCGCCGGCTGTTGAGAACGCGCTCAGGACAGTTCGGACATTGAGGTAAAAAAACGATATAAATACTGTTCATTTTCTTGCACAGACCGATCGTTTCGTGTCTTTACACATCAATGTATCGTCACGAGCCGCAGGGTTTAATTTGGTTTTGTTTGTGTATGTTTTTTGACTCTCAAAGCCGTGATTCCCATTCACTTCCATTATAGGTGCATCTCAATAAATTAGAATGTCGTGGAAAAGTTTATTTATTTCAGTAATTCAACTCAAATTGTGAAACTTGTGTATTAAATAAATTCAATGCACACAGATTGAAGTAGTTTAAGTCTTTGGTTCTTTTAATTGTGATGATTTTGGTTCACATTTAACAAAAACCCACCAATTCACTATCTCAACTAATTAGAATATGGTGACATGCCAATCAGCTAATCAACTCAAAACACCTGCAAAGGTTTCCTGAGCCTTCAAAATGGTCTCTCAGTTTGGTTCACTAGGCTACACAATCATGGGGAAGACTGCTGATCTGACAGTTGTCCAGAAGACAATCATTGACACCCTTCACAAGGAGGGTAAGCCACAAACATTCATTGCCAAAGAAGCTGGCTGTTCACAGAGTGCTGTATCCAAGTATGTTAACAGAAAGTTGAGTGGAAGGAAAAGGTGTGGAAGAAAAAGATGCACAACCAACCGAGAGAACTGCAGCCTTATGAGGATTGTCAAGCAAAATCGATTCAAGAATTTGAGTGAACTTCACAAGGAATGGACTGAGGCTGGGGTCAAGGCATCAAGAGCCACCACACACAGACGTGTCAAGGAATTTGGCTACAGTTGTCGTATTCCTCTTGTTAAGCCACTCCTGAACCACAGACAACGTCAGAGGCGTCTTACCTGGGCTAAGGAGAAGAAGAACTGGACTGTTGCCCAGTGGTCCAAAGTCCTTTTTTCAGATGAGAGCAAGTTTTGTATTTCATTTGGAAACCAAGGTCCTAGAGTCTGGAGGAAGGGTGGAGAAGCTCATAGTCCAAGTTGCTTGAAGTCCAGTGTTAAGTTTCCACAGTCTGTGATGATTTGGGGTGCAATGTCATCTGCTGGTGTTGGTCCATTGTGTTTTTTGAAAACCAACGTCACTGCACCCGTTTACCAATAAATTTTGGAGCACTTCATGCTTCCTTCTGCTGATCAGCTTTTTGAAGATGCTGATTTCATTTTCCAGCAGGGTTTGGCACCTGCCCACACTGCCAAATGCACCAAAAGTTGGTTAAATGACCATGTTGTTGGTGTGCTTGACTGGCCAGCAAACTCACCAGACCTGAACCCCATAGAGAATCTATGGGGTATTGTCAAGAGGAAAATGAGAAACAAGAGACCAAAAAATGCAGATGAGCTGAAGGCCACTGTCAAAGAAACCTGGGCTTCCATACCACCTCAGCAGTGCCACAAACTGATCCCCTCCATGCCACGCCGAATTGAGGCGGTAATTAAAGCAAAAGGAGCCCCTACCATGTATTGAGTACATGTACAGTAAATGAGCATACTTTCCAGAAGGCCAACAATTCATTAAAAATGTTTTTTTTTATTGGTCTTATGGAGTATTCTAATTTGTTGAGATAGTGTATTGGTGGGTTTTTGTTAAATGTGAGCCAAAATCATCACAATTAAAAGAACCAAAGACTTAAACTACTTCAGTCTGTGTGCATTGAATTTATTTAATACACGAGTTTCACAATTTGAGTTGAATTACTGAAATAAATGAACTTTTCCACGACATTCTAATTTATTGAGATGCACCTGTACTGTATTCTATATACAGTACCAGTCAAAAGTTTGGACACACGAATGGGAAGTGTGTCCAGACTTTTGACTTTACTGTACTATAATATAGCCGAAACACAAAGAATATCGGCTGATATATCGATATCGGTCTTTTGTACTCCCTAATATCGGCATCGGCATCAGCCCCCCAAAAACCCATATCGGTCGGGCTGTAGTAATTATCACACAGCTCTATACATAGCTCCAATATGCCTGGGCAAACTAATCAACGTGAACATTTCTGTGGACTTTTATTGTTCCATTTGTTTTCCACATGCTTGACAAATCTTGCCTGTATGTGCATATAAGCATGTGCCACCTTCTTGACAACAGCCCTACTTTTAAAACAACACCTGCCATGGTGTTTCTTATTTGTAGTCTCTAATAAATTACATAGCATACCCAGTTAAAGACGTCACCACTCGCACTTCTTAATTATTTATATCATTGTAAAATTTAAAATATATTACGGCATAACTCTGCTAATTCTGACTATAAGGCATGTAAATATTGAGGTTCTTTGTTTAAAGGGGTCATATGATGTTGCTAAAAAGAACATTATTTTGTGTATTGGGTGTAATGAAATGTTTATGCGGTTTAAGGTTAAAAAAACACATTATTTTCCACATACTGTACATTATTGTTTCTCCTCTATGCCCCGCCTTTCTGAAACGCGTACATTTTTACAAAGCTCATCGGTCTGAAAAGCAAGGTGTGCTGTGATTGGCCAGCTATCCAGTGCGTTATGATTGGCCGAATACCTCAAGCGTGTGACGGAAATGTTACGCCCCCTACCATACTGTTGATGCCGTGTCCCGGCCGAAGCGACGACACAAAAACATTAAAACCCATTATAAAC